TTTTTTTTTTTTTTTTTTTTCGGTGGATAGTAGCTTGCTTTATCAATGACGTTCATGTATTTCATTCAGTCTACAAAAATAGTATACTAAATAACTAATATTGAGTATTTGTTTTGTCTGATATTTTACGATGAACTGACAATTCCTGTGTTTGAAAATCTTTTTGTATTGATAGAAGATTGTCAAAACATTTGATAACATCTTCTGCACTTAATACTTTTATCAATACATGCACATCTGGGCCTTAAACAAAATGATGTCAAAACTAAATATTGAGAAAATAAGAGCACTACAAAATCAAATTACTTGTCCCTATTGTTGTAGTTGATATCTCCTTATTCTCAACTGGAACTAATAATTTGTCAACGTAACAGCTGGGAATAATTCAATTATGTGTTTTAACTTCTCTTTCGAAAGAATGAACAAGCTCAAATGGATTAAGTTCTTACATCTGTGGCATAAGTTTACCCCGTGATATGTTTTCTTTTCAATATTTTTATACTAGAATGTAACTATGATACCGCAAGCTTTGAACATTGTAGGTCGTCACTGGACTGCTCATTGCCGAAGTAAATGTGAACACAATGTGCGAGCTGGGTTCCGGTGGTGTCTCATTGGTAACTTCCTTTATGTGATAAAATCCTTCCATCCAAATTAAGCCTTGTTGAAGGTTAAATTGTGGTCATTTGGTAGGGACTTTAACCACTGAGGACCAATGTGATTAATTTGGTCTTATCATTAAAACTGCAGGTTTCAATGGCCAAGAGGACTCTTGGAAGTACTGGGATTCAGGTTGCATGGTAATCTATCTCTTTCTCTGTCATGATACTGAATGAATAGTTTTTGAACTTGGCCCAATGGATTTTCTTGGACTATTAAATCTCAACACTAAAAGTTTGGGTAGACAACATAATGTTTTCCTTGAGTTTTTTCATTTCTTCGGTAATTTAACTATTCTTCAATTTCTTCTTTTTCTTGTTCTTTCTATCTTCTGTTAAAGGTGAAATTCCTTAAAGACCAAATATTTTTTCGGAAAGTGCAATTTATTTCTCACCTTCTGTTTGGTTATAGTTTTAGTCACCCTTCACTCTTGCTGCTGGTTCTATTCAGTTGAACTGTTTTTCTCATTATCTAAAGCAATGACTATGTAATGACATCTCCCTTTCTTCATTAACATTTTTGGAACAGGCACCTAAAATTATTATGTAGGAAATCAAATCGATAAATAAAAGACCATTGTATTGGTCATAATGCTTCTATTCAGCTGTTTCACTATTCTGCCTCATCACTTCATGCACTATTGATGCCCATATGACTTATATTGCTCGAAAGTTATTGAGCATAACTTGTGGAGCTAGTATCAGATAAATGTGAATGGTAGGACATGATAGCAAGCAATCACGGTTGTCCGGTTCTAATGTTGCTTTCTGTTTTGTGATAGTATGGACCTGATCTATAATATGTTGTTAAACTTGCATGTAACAATGATATTGCTTCCTTTTGTTGTGCAGCTGGTCCTACATTTTCATCCACTACGCACTCCTTGTGGCCTACATAGCTCGTTCTTCAGATATTTTGACGAGCTTCCTCGGCATTCCATTGTATGGACTTGTTCTTTCATTTTAAGATTTTTACTATATTTTTTTTTATTTCACTTACATTGTTAATGAGTAATGTTCATTGAATCCATTGGCATACTTGAATACTATAGAAATATTTTTGGCTGATGAAACTTAGGTAGTTTTAGTTGCACCAGTTTACATGTCATCCTGGACTAATGATATTCTGAAACTAATTTGATTTACTGTGGTATATAATATATCGTGAGCTGGTAGGCTGAACTGCAAGTTAAGACGCCCATAGAGACCTCTGTGGTAGATACGCAATGTACACATAGATGTTATTCTGCTAATTACATGTTTTGGATCCAAATAATGATTTGTGTGGAAGCCTGTGACTTTCCAGATGCATTTGATTTATTTTTTAATTTTTTTTTCTGGTTTTTTCTTTTCTTTGTCCATGTGAGGAGGTTATCATCAGTACCTTCATATGCTTGTTAGGTGTTGATGGGCGGCATTATGATTGCAGATGGGAGGCTGCAACTTTGTTTTCACTGCTTTTTGGGAGTCTGTGCTACTTCGGAAGGTTGACTTCATCTTATATCTCACCACTTAAGTAAATAAATTGCACACCAGTGGCTGTAATTCTACTGTGATATATCTCCATTTCTCGGTTTGTCATATATCAGCATGCTTCTCTAGTAAAAAATGTTTTCCGGGGTGGAAATATCTCGTAACTTCTCTCTTGCATTCAAGATTCTTTCTTCTTGTGGTTTAGTGTTTGTTGATCTCCGCATGCATTTTAAATTCTCTTTAAAATAAATATATTTCTATTCAAGGCGTGTTTGTTACGGTATAGCTGTATTGCTGGGAAGAATGCCTTTATGATGCTTGTTTGAACAAAGATCTCGGAAATTAAAATTACCTTTCAATATACCCCGCCTTTGGCAGTTTGTAATAACTTTTATTTGTGACAATAAGATTTTATTTCTTTTGTAGCCAGCGAGTTATTGGAGCGGTAAATGGTTCTCTAGTGGTCGGCATCATTTTGTCTTTCACTGCTCTCGTGGTAACAAATTCTTATTCTTTATACTTTTTCATACTACATACAAAAACAACCCTTACGTCTAAACCATTTCTCAGTGTTTTGTTTGTGGGAGCTCTTGTGGTATACTGTAAATAAGGAAAGAGGACTAGTTCGGTTCATAATTTATCTTATTAACTGAACAAGTTTGCAGCTCTGTTTGAAAAGAGTGTGTGTTCTGTTTTTTCGGGTCATTAAAATTACGGTGAATGCTTATTTTTCTAGGCGGTAGCAAGCGGGGACTTACATTGGGATGCTCTTCTAAAAGTTAATCTAGAGGCTGCACCTCAAAGCATACCAATTATAGCACTTTCTTTTGTCTATCAGGTAGCAAATCAGGTCACCGGTTAACTAACTCCACATTTTCATGTTTGTTTGAACTATATATTTCTCATTGAACTAATCCGTTGCAGAATGTAGTACCGGTTCTTTGTACCAATCTTGAAGGCAACTTATCAAAAGTAAGGTGATAAATCCTTTGGACATCTAAACTATAATCATATCATCATATGCCAAACCAAACACAAATGATAATTTCGAAAATCCTAATAGATTGTTTATGTCCTCTAATCTTTTTCGCCTTCCAATTTCCTAGGACTGCAATTGTTCTGGGTACCACTATTCCACTTGTTCTATTTCTTGTTTGGAATGCCGTCATTCTTGGTAGCATCACAACTTTGGAAGTGGGGTCGAATACGCTCATGGACCCCATACAGCAACTTCGATCGACGAATGGCATTGTTGGGGTCGGTACTTAAATCCTTTTCATTCATAAAATATTTGAACTGCCTTGTTTTTCTTCCCCACAAACTGTTAATATTATCATCCAAAAGAACTATTTCTCTCCCATTTGCAGCCGATAGTCGACGTGTTCTCGCTTCTTGCAATTGCCACCTCTTACATTGGTTTCGTTCTAGGCCTCTCTGACTTCTTGGCTGACTGTAAGTCTACTGTTTCATCTTTTTTTGCCATATGTGACAAGTGTGATAATATAGCACCTTTTGCATTATTTTGTACTTGATAATGAGATGACAAGTGACTTCAAGTATAAAAGATAAAAAAATTGGGTGTTTGGGTTTGTCCATCATTTCTGGTTTCTAATGCTTTGGATCAAAATATTTAAAACAACATGCAGTGTTGAAACTCCCGGCCGGTCAAAACAGGCCTTTGCCATATCTACTCACCCTTGTCCCGCCATTGATACTATCTCTGTTGGATCCTGAGATATTCTTTAAAGCACTTGATTTTGCTGGAACGTATGGGGGTGCGTATTTTGCTGTTTTTTTGTTTTCCTTACGAATATGACGTGACATGATTAATAATTGATGGTGGTTCTTATGTACATTTTATTACAGTGCTCGTGCTGTTTGGGGTTCTTCCAGCCACGATGTCCTGGTCTGACAGGTATTCGGAACGCTGTGAATCTCCCAAGATTGGGGTGTTAGTTCCTGGAGGAAAATTGAGCCTGTCGCTCGTGATTGGAGGTGCAGGGCTCGTCATCCTCTCCCAAATACTCCAGAATTTTGGGAATGTATAGTACAGCCATACCCACGTACAAGGATTAACCTCAAATTCTTTCACAGATATTGACATTATATTGATGTATTGATACCCACATACTAGCAGTGTATAATTTCTAGAGGCACTAGCTACATCAACCAAGGAGTCTATCCTAGAAATGGCCAAAACTCGGTTTGGGTTGGAGGACCTTGAACCAGCCCGAACATATGCACAGGCCGGTTTAGTGAACCGGCGCGGAACCGTCGGTTCAACCCGTTCTAGGCCAGTGTCTTTTAAAAAAAAAAAAAAATTGGGGTGATGTGGTTAAAGAATTTAGACTTGGACTTAGCTGGCATATTACAAGTTAAAATATCAATTAAGTTGAGAAAAATGAGTTAAAAAATAGTATGTTAATTTATAATATGTTAATTAAGTTGTCTACAAATCATGTAACATTGTGAATTCAAATTCTTGTAGTTCTCTTATTTTACTTACCTTAATGAATGTAGATGTGTTGTTGAACTGATGATAGTTTAGTAATTGTAGTCTTAGGTGTCGTAGTTTTCTTCTTCATTTTCGACGGTTCAACTCGTACTAGTAGTACTTTTAAAATCAGATGTCTCTTCTTATTCATATTCATGACAGTTAGAATTAGGGTTGAGCATGGGACTCAGAGAATTTCGAACCGTTCTGAAAACCGAAGCAAAATCACTCCGAATCGAAAAATAACCGTTGACCGTTTGACTTTCTCCGAATCGAATTGAACCGAAAAAATAATTGGTACGGTTCTGGAGATTTCACAAATATTCGTACCGAGAACCGAACTGGCCCGTCCCGTACCGAACCGAAGAACCAAAATGTAGAACCGAATTATAACATTAGATGTGTTATTAGTATATTTTATGGCACCTTTAATCCTATATAATATAGTAATAATAACTATTAACTTTCACTTAACTTTCATGCTTAGTAATACTTGATCTACAATTGAATTTTTCTATTATAAAATAATTATTTAAAATAATATGAAAGGTTAAAGAATTTTTTTTTAGAAAAAAATATTATAGTTTGTTTGAATTTTAAATTTTGAATATTAGTTGCACAAATTTAATCTTAATTAAAACTTAGAGTTACTTATTAAGTTGATTTCAGAATAAATTTTTTAATATGAGGAAGTATTGATGAATGTTGACTTTATTAAAGCATATAAAAATTAAATAACTAAAATTTAGAGTTACTTCTAAAATTGATTTCAAAATAAAATCTTCAACATGAATTATTGATAAATGTTGTTTTTTAAAGCATATAAAAATTAAAATATAACTAGGTAGTCATTAAAAAAAATCTAAAAAAATAAGTAATCTCCGAAGATCCGAACCAAACCATACCGAACCAAACCGTCCCAATAGCCCCGAATACCGAACCGAACAGAACCGAAAAATAAAAATCTCCGAACCGAACCGAACCGAACTGACTTTTTGGTACGGTTCCGGAGATCGATTTTTGGGATCTCCGAACTTTGGTACGGTTCTGGAGATTTATCAATCTCCGAACTGTATCGACCCACGCTCACCCATAGTTAGAATGATCGTTTGTGACCTCGTTATGGCCTTCTTCAAGTCATTCAACTATATTTGATTCTCCAGGTTTTGTGGCATTATAATGTCGTGCATTCATTGTATATATTTTCTCATTGAATGCTTGTTCAGTCGCGCTATTGTTGAGCTGAGACACCGAAAATCTCCTTGTCCACACAGAAAGGAATAGGATAACTGTTACTCATCTTTTTAACTTCTGTTCGTTCATCTAATCACAATTTCAAATTTTGCAAAATATAGTTAGTAGATACAGTAATGCTCCCTTAGGACCCTTACCCACTGTGGGTACATGGACATATTAATATGTGTTCACGGGGAGCATTAGTCTTAGTAGATATTAACAATTTGAATTTGATTGTTTGTAAATATAAAAAGGAGAGAGAGTAAGAGAATTTAAAATAGAATAATGGGCTTGATACTCAACTGCATCAGCCCATTTTAATTGGGTTAAGATGAAAAAGCAGTCTCGTGCTGTAGCCCACGCATGCACACTACCCTTTTTCTGTCTCCCGATCCTCCCCCAAATTACATTCAGCTCGATTCATTTGCCGATCTCTTCAAACCCTAGCAAGAAAACCATTCCCTTTCCCAATTACCATGGCCAGGAAACGAAAAACCCGCGCTACAGAAGCTCCCGAGGAGCCTGAACTTGTACAGAAAACTGAGCCCGAACCCCAGTCGGAGCCCGAACATCCCCAACCCGATGGAACCATGGAAGACGAAGGCCCGGAAGCGGAAGATGAAGCGGCCAAGGAAGAAGAAAAAGAGCTGGAAGTTGAGAGAGACGGCGAAGAGGAGCAACCGGACATGCCGGAGGATAAAAACGAAGCCGTTGTCGACCAGATGGTGAACGGGCTAGCTAGTGAAATTACTGAAAAGCCCTCCGAGAACACCGTTTCGGAGGACGGCCAAGGACAGAAGGAGGTGGAGGAATTGGAATTGGAGGAGGAGCCTATGGAGAAGCTTCTCGAGCCCTTTTCCAAGGACCAGCTGACTCTTCTGATCAAAGAAGCGGTGGCCAAACACCCGGATGTAATGGAGAGTGTGCACAGGTTGGC